TATCATAACTGTTTTGTTGTTATAGACTATTAGACTTTAAACGAGCAGCAGCCATCACACGACTCTGACTTGGTATTTCATACTTAAGTCTGCCTGTCTGTCTGTCTGTCTGTCTATTTCCACCCTTGTCTATCTGTTTTCATGCATGCACTGAACACTGGAGATCCTCTGGAGATTTCTCTGGAGGATTTGTATATACATTTATTTGTACTTTATGTGATGTTGATCTTCCATACAGAGTTCCAAACTATAGTTTTAGGTGAGAAAAATGTTCTCTGGCCTCTTTCTCCCTTCTCTGAGGGGCTGATAAAAGCCTGGATGTAAACTCTGGCTCTGATAAAAATAGAACAGCTGAGAGCGACAGGACAGTCCAATCTGACACGCTGTCAACATGATTCCAGTACTCACACCTCAGAGAGGACCAGCGCACCAAACAGCAGCAGTGGATGACCACAACCCCTGCAGCCACAGGTACAAGGTGTCATTAACAAGCGCAGTGAATTTTGTAAGGATTATTCCAATAATTAATTTGCTTCGTACATTTTCCAGAACTTTTACCGTCAGCCCGCTCGGAAAATGTCCGGAAAATGTCTGGATAAGGAGAATACAGCATTTGATGCTGTATAAACAGGGTGAAACGTCATGATTGACAGCTGTGACAGACTTGATTGGTCGAGGGTGTGTATCGACGGGACCTTGCTACAGCGGCTTTATCCCCCGATGATTAAGTACAAACAGTATATACAGTTTGTATAATATTAATTATACTCAGCTTGTAGTATTTGGTTTTGTTGATTACTTTTCAGTCCCTGAAGTCGGTCACTGCCGCTGTGCTCGGATGTGTGTATGCATGTTTCATTCTCAAGTGTGTCTGTGGTGCATCATGTTGTTGTGTTTCTTTAGCGTCTTCTCAGAATTATAAGAGCAATTACTCTCGCTGTACATTATGATTTCCATGACACAATACAGACGTCGCCATGTTACAGCCTCTCTTCAGTCCTGTTGATGCATTATTCATCTTTCACTAGAATAAACCCTTTCACATGCACAGACGTCACCTCAGAGACAAAGGTCATAGGTAAGAGATCACAGGTCAGCTCCACATCATCGTGGGTATCAGGACTTTAAAAAGATTGTAAAAGAAAATGAGTCAATTCTGAAGAAAAAAAACACATATTTGAAGTCAATTGCCTCTTGAGTGCTGGAATAAATGTTTTGAAGTGGGTAACTGGAAGGTTGTCCTTGTTTAAGTATGGGTGTAAATCAAAGGGGAGTAATAGTTTCACAATGAGATTGGTTCAAGATATTGCATCCAGAAGTAGTAAAAATCTGGCAAACGTGGCTTCTACAGCTTCTTTTTTCCCTTTATTCTTGTAAAATATGGTTGAGCAATTACAATTTATTCTTCATAATTTTGTATTCTAGTAATATCACAATTTTATTTCGCAATTTCAGGGTTCTTTTTCTCCTACATGGCCATAACACTCTGTCATACAAGTGACTCTTGATCTTTGATTCTAAAAAGGATTAAAAAAAAGATTACCTTATAATGAAGTGCAACAGCAATCATAGGACACAGTGGATCATTGGCCTATTCTGCATTGCAGTACATGAAGCTGATGACTATAAATAACCGACAGTGTGTACGTCACAAGCTGAATACCAATCAAATGTCAACGCAAATTAAAATGAATTTATGAGTTTTCATTCACGATAAATCATTTTCACACGTTTGGTGAAAACGCTTTCATGTGCCAGGTAACATACAATGTCCTCATTTGTCAGTTGTGCATGTGTTCGTGGGGAGCAGATAGGGTTTAACCCCCCCTCTTCATCTCCTATGGTGATCGGAGTGGATGGATGCAAGTCAGGATTAACAATCTACAAGACCCCGCTGAGAGACTTCCTGTCAAACAGCGGCCGCCCACAGAGACAGAGAAAGGCCAGCGAGGCCAGCGTTTATAACCGTGAAGGTGCCATGCCACCATCTTTCACACTCCTCTCTTTTTATCCCTTCCTTTTTTATTGCCTTTTGTGACATCCGCCTTTTTCTCCTCTTCCCCTCTGGGTCGCTCTTTTTATTATCTTTTTATTTAACATCCTTGGGACTGTGGCTCAGTGGGAGGAAGCAAACACTCCATATATATTATACGCCGCTGACCAAGTACAGCACATCTGTTAAGTCCTGATATAGAAATAAAAAAGAAACAGTGGATTGTTTGAGTTTACATATTCATTTTTTCATGGTTCATTACTTCTCTCAATCCTATCACGACATGCTGACATCGCCATGTGTCCCAGCCCACCTGTCCGTCTCTCTCCCATCGCACACAAACCACATACACACAGATCGTTCTACCTGCTGGTCAAGATGTCGCAGTTGCCCTCTGGTCTCTTCGGCTTTTGCTGCTAATTCTGCTGTGCTGATCTGCAGCATATCTGTGACACAAATTAACGAGTTACAAATCACTTCCAGGCTTCGAACAAGAAGTACAAATTTGCACCTAGCAGTTATTGCATTGAGGCAGCTGAATCTTCTGAGCATCCACAGAAAATGGTGAAGGTAAATGTATTGGGTCATATTTGAGATGTAAACTGCTGTGTGGTGTTGGATGGGAGGACCTGTGGCAGACACTGAGGCACTGGTTGGTTCACTGACAGGAACGCCTTGGGTGGTGGAGAAAGAGAAAGCCAGGGAGCTCTCTGTCCCCTCATTGTCTTCTGTACCGTCTACGATCCTGCAGAAACACAGCAACATGGTGAGTGAGCTCTCTCCAAGGGTAAAATAAATCTTTACCACACCTTGTTGTTTCCACACTAGATCAGTTGTTGGCCCCTGTTACCAGTCCTAGACTTTATATAAAGATGGATGACACATTTTCACTTCCTCCAACTATCCGAAAGTGAAGCTAGAATATCCTGGATGCCGCCTTCTTAGCCATTTGGAGCCAGAGTCTAGTTTTAATATCAATTAACTAACTAACAACTAATTAAAAACAAAATTTACTGGGAAAATGCGCACTTAAACAAATATCAACGTGATAAGAACTACATAAAATGATAAAATAACATATTTTTGAAAATGTATTTGACATTTCCTTTATTACGTTTTAGTTTGGTCTATGTTCCATCCACTATCATGGAGGAGGTGGGATTTATGACTTATACTGCAGCCATTCACCAAGTAATTAAAAAATGTAAAGACATGCAAGTTCTAACTCAGCATTAGAACTTGCATGTCTTTACATTTTTAATAGAATATTGTCCAATCTAATCATTTGCTCCATCTCCAGATGAATTGGCTTGTGTGAGTGGCCAGTGGTGTAAATTGTGACCGAGCTGAAACCCTCAGAGCTGAACCCTGATCCGTTGAGCACAAAGAAACTCTAACCTCTGTTTCACTGTGACATGTTTAGTAAAGTAAACAATGAGAGGACTTACAAATATTGTTTCTCACTTTTGTCTCAGACCTAGTTTTGCACGACAGGCTCTGTGCCGAAGAATGACCAAAATAGACACAGTGGCCCACAGAGTCACAGGCCTACACAGGCTGACGGACAAATCAATGGTGATCGAACTCACCTGGGGCTGAGGTTGGAAGGGTCTAAAGTGGTGAGAGTAATTTCCTGGATCTTCCTCAGAGAGCACCTGGAGCCCTGTATCGTGGTCTTCTGGCTGGGTCCGCTCAGCAGAGACCTGGCACTGGCGTCCCTGAGGTTCACCGCTCGGTTCTGCTCCGATGACAAAGACACAGATGTGGCCCTGTCTTCCTCCTCATTGTCTTCATGTTCCTCCTGAGCCTCAATGATGGACGGATAACCCTGCACCACTTGGCCATTCCTTCTCACCCCTGACTGGAAAATACGAGAGGAATTGTTGACAGCAGCAAGAGACATTGTTCACCTGAGATTTCAGGACATTTTCAAACATGGCATTGGAGTGTGTAGAACTTTTGCAGATTATATAACTATGAAATAAAGCAGAGAGCTGGCAAAGAATTAAAATCCATTCATTTTGAGTTGAGTCATCTGAAGCATCAGCCTTGATGATGTCAATGGAAATTTGCTTGAATGCCACTTTTTCAAAAATAAAATAAAAAATCTCTGTATTGCGTCAAATGTTGCCCTCCTCCCTTTTTCCTGCTTTCTCTAAAGGTGCTGAAGATGTTTTTGTTCAGTCATGACCCTGGAACACACAGAGGGAGTATTAACACAAATATATGCACTAATGACTTGTAAGTGTAAGGAGCACAACACTCGGCTGGATTTAAGAGTGATGGCCCCAGGCATGGGCTGCGAATGTGACCTGCAGAATATGAACAAAATGAACTCTGACATGTGTTCATTTATACACAGAGGCCTGCACATGTCCTCATATGTCAAAGGTCTGCACTTGTGCTGAATTGCTGAACAGTTGATCAGCTGCAAGATTAGGATACAATGAGGTAATGGGTGAAATAATGTTGACAAAAAGGTATTGATCTGTGGCCTCTGACCCCCAGAAAAATAAAACCAGTGTGTGGTTAATGACTCCGCTCAGCCTAATTGATTTTTCCGTAAAATACCTGACTACAGATTAAGATATCTAGGTAGATTCTCAAAAATGAAAGGATACTGAGCATTTCATCGCCCCTCCGTTCTTGTTTACCCGTGATTTAATGATTGTTAACTCATTTCTGTCTAGCATTGATCTCTCGCCTCTTCAACCTGCCTACCAAAGGAAAAAAAAAATCCCTCTTCATCAGTATCATTTAGTCTAAAAGAGGAATCGAGTCCATTATCAGTGACAGGCGTCTATTGCTCGGTCTAGCTCGGCAGATTTCTCATAGAATAGATTTTTTTTTGAGGCTGATTAAAAGGGTTCTTTTGGGTAAACGGTGCACTTGCGTCTAAGTGTCACACTTTTCCTTTAGATTGTAAATGATCAAATCTGTCTGTGTGTGTTTGAGAAGTGTGGTTTGTTACCTGAGGATCAAGAGCTGTTGTAGACAGTTTGGCCTTAACCTGAAGCAGAGCCAGAGAGGAAACACAGCACAGTAAATGATCTGCAGGAGCGAGAGCAATCAAGATGTGGCCTTTCTTTCTTAGGTTATAATTTACAGAGGAGCCATTTCACAAGGCTCGGCAGTAAATTACAATCTGAAGTGGTTAAGAGAAAATAGCATGATTGTATGGCTTGCGGTGATGCAATGCTGCAAAATAATTCACCTTAATACAGTGATCCTCCTGTGCTTATATGCACAACAGAAAAGCCAAACGACATCCCAGCCACAAACACACCCTGAGCTGCTACCTTCCCTTTGTCTTCATCCCAACTCTGCTCAGACCTGTGATTTGGGCTGCTCCTCTGCACATTAGTGTCACCTTAAAGCCCTGCGGCAGGTAGTGTGTGTGTGTGTGTATGTGGGGCAGTGGTGTTTGGGCATGAGAGGCAGAAACACCTGACTGTAATTACAGCAGCAGTGCCATGGCTATTTTTTGCTTTCATTCTCTCTCTCTATCACACACACAGAATCACACTCTTCTATTGTCCTGCTGTGGTTCTGCTCACAATTATTGTTTCCCCCAATACAAACACAAAAAATGTGAAAGTTATAACTGATGCAAGGAGGACAATCGGGGGGGAAATGGTATCAATATTTTTGTGCACTGAGTAAGATTCTAGATCTATTTCATACAAACCCAGTTATTTTTGTTTTGTTTTGGCTACTTTTAAGACTTCTTGTGTAAATGTCTGCACATACACAGTATGAGTTTGCACAGTGAAGCTCAAACATCCAAACCTACCATAAACATTTTTAGTGGAGGGTGAATCTCAAATGACTTAGATGGACTTACGTGTGTCTCATGTCCCTCCCTCAGGTTGTATGTGAGGTCCTGCTGGATGTCCTGGACGAAGTGGTGGGAGTACTCAGGGTAAAGGTCCAACACATCATACAGGCCCTTCAGGTTAATACACTGCAGGTCACAGTAGGTCAGAGCTTTCACGTCCGCATTGGTTTTTATCACCCGGTCATCTAAGGACACGTTCGCCCCAATCAGGTCACCTTTACCTGCACAGACAAAGAGGGAGATATACATGTACGGTGGAGGTGAGAAACATCACAGCATAATGTTTACATGCTGGTAAAAGGGGTTGAAGTTGTCAACCCTGGTGAGTCTCTCTCTAATGCAAACTGTGAAGCATCAGATCTTCCATTTGCTGAGTAGTGTCTGAGAGGGAGTGCTCAGTTTGGAGAGAGTGAGAGATTTGGAGCAGTGCGGTGTTCAGGCAGTGGGACGGCCACCTGTGTGTTCAACACCACTTTTAAGGCCTCATTTCTGGAGGCATCTGAGCCGCTGATGTGTCTGTAAGTTAGACTGAATAAAGTTTTTTAATAACAGGAGGGAAATGTGTCCATCGATCCAATCAGAGTGGGTAGGTAACATTATACCTGTTAAAGTAACCGTGAGCAACACACCCACAGCAGGGGCAGGGTTATCATCACTACACCTCGCTTGGTTGAGAAATCTTGACAGACTTGTTGCAGGATTCACTGCGAGGAGAAGATCTGAGCCTCAGGAAATCCGCAATGCTTGCAATCCAAGTACAAGCAGAGTATATTTGAGTGCAAATGCAGGATTTTGAGTGAAAGCGTAACAAAAAAATCAGAACGTGAAATCCAGACCTCGCTCTTATAGCGAACAATCTCCATATAATCTTTTAACAATAATGTCTCCTGCTAATTAACACTTGTCAGGTGATGTTACAATTAAAACGTAAAAGAGCACGATTGGTTGAATGCATCGACCACAAAGAGAGGAAGATGTGACAAGTGGAAGTGAAATGTGAAAGAAGAAAGTTTTAAAAGACAAAGAGATTTGAACTGTTTACAGTCTGAGATTGTTATTTACGAAACATACTTTGTCTTTGTGTGAATACATTTTTAGTGACTGTGATGGCTGCTTCCTGTTGTCCTGATACATATACTGGACGGGGTTGAGCTCCCCTGTTAGTGTTAATGCCCACAGAGCTGTGATCAAACGTCCATGGTCATTGTGAATGCTGCTCAGTTAAAGCTGATGGAGGGCCAGTCGTGACCGTTCTTACTCTGTTTCTCTCAGTCCACTCCCCCTGCCACTCATCTCTTCTCACCCTCCCTCCCTCTTTCTGTTTTCTCCTCCCCTCTGTGCACATTTCCCTTCTTCCTTCCTGTTTGCATCCCTCTCCATCCCTTGTTGACTCTTCTTCATTCCCTTCTTTTTGCTTTCTGTCCTCTCTTAGGTTCCTACTCCGTTTTCATTTTTCATTTTCATTTTATTTTCTTCCTGCATTCATTTCTTCGTTTCTACCTCCACTCCTTCATTCCTTTTCTTATTGTTATTTTTTCCGTCCTTTTCCTTCCCATTTTTTCCCATTCCCTTTCTTCTTCCCATTCTTCAAGTTTAACTTACTGCCTTCCCTTCTCCACCTTTGCCTTCTATTTCTACTACTGCTTTTCTCCTCAATTCTCTCTCTATCTTCTGTTCACTCCTTCACTCCTGCTGCTTCTGCATGTATTTTATTTCGTTCAGATATTCCACTACATACATCCTGTCTTTTTCCTCTCTGTCCATCAACCAAGCTTTCTCTTCAACCTCTCATTCTCTCGCCCCTCTTCCACTCTACCACTCTGCCACTCTCCATTATGTGGCACTGAGCCGTCACTGCACACTGGTGTTGTGACAAGGAAGAGGAGGATCGAGGGGGATGGACGCACACAGAAAGAGAAATGGAGCGAGAGAAGCTGTTCTCTCCTTCAGTCAGACACTGTCAGCCTGACCTTCTGCACAGTCAGCAGACGAGCATAGAGACAATGCTCGGCATCTGTCAAGCCCACCCACACCCACACACACACACACACACACACACACATGCACACACAGCATTTTGTGCACAGGTAAACAATTCCAGATACTTGATATGAACATGCACCAAAACATTCTTCAGCAGAAGCATTAGCATTAAGGTGCCGACAGACAACAGGCAGACACACACACACAGGTTTTAAGTGCCACACACAGAGACAAAGTCATGAATGTAGTTTCAAACTCAGATATATGAAGCATTGCGTTTAGTTGATGCAGGACACAGAGTCATAGGAATGAATCCTTCAGCGCCAATCATAACATTTGCAACAAATGGGTAAATCATGACAAAGTGTTCCTGGCTGAATTAATTTACTTTCTCTCACACACACACACACACACACACACNCACACACACACACACACACACACACACACACACACACACACACACACACACACACACACACACACACACACACACACACTTCCTCCAATAGAAGAAAGTGATAAACCTTTTTCATTTAATTCTGTTTGTGTAGCAGAATAGTTGCAGCTGATATTATAATTAGCCATGAACCTGGCCTCAGGTAGCGTAACCAGATTATCTCCAGGAGACAGAGCTGGACAGCCTTGAAGTGCTGGAATAGATGGAACTGAAATGACCTGACTTTAGTGAATTGAACTGATGAAAGGACTGGACTGAGCTGGACAACACAGATTAAACTGGACAGGACTGAATTACAATCTACGGGATAGACCTGACCATAGTTAGGCTGGACGTCTCTGGATTGAAGTGGTTTAACCTGGATGGAACTGGACGATCATGGATTGCTCTGAATGGATTACTGGTTCATAATATAAACCAGTCTGCAGGGGCTGAATGTTCCTTTCTATTGCCTCTGCTCACTTTTACTGGAACAGCCAAAACAAAAGCGGTTATTATAATAATTCTATCCCCCAACTTCAACGAACCCATCTCCCTCACTTTGTCTGCACAGTTATAGATAAGTTCTTACTGCAGAACATATTGTTGAAAAAATGACATCTAACTGGAGTTGATTTAAGGGAATTATTACTAATAACAATGGGCTCTGAGGATGAGTGGTGGCCTTTAGGACACTGTATAGCTCCTTCCTCTAAACAATGAGCTAATTTACAGGACACAGCTTTATCACAATGAGCCACCTGGAGCTTATTATAAAACCATAACAGTGGCAAACCCAAGTCTAAACCCTGTCACCTTCCCTGTATCGTACCCAGGATGGCCAGCACCATGCCGTCCTTCAGCACCTCCATGGAACCCGAGCACACTAAGAAGATGGCCTGGAGAGCGTCGCCCTGACGGAGGAGGTACTCTCCCGGAGCGCAGAAGGAGGTCTTGATGTGCAGGGACAGGGAGCGCAGGCATCCGCGGCTGGCGGAGGCAAACAGCGACAGCTCCAGGATCTCCTTGTTAAGGTGCATGGTGATGTCGGACCGCAGCTCGTCTGGGAAGTCCTTCAGAAGCTGTGGAGAAGATTAGAGAGGGAGTCAGGCAGGAAATGAGATGGAGGGAATGATGAAGAAGCAGGCGAGAGCGAGGAGAGCATGACAGGAGTGAAAATATCCCATGCTGCAACTCAGTGGTTAAACTATGCAGCTACTGTACAACAGGAAACATTAATATCAAGTTAAGTTTATTTAAGTGGACCAAAACCAATCGTTTGTCTCTGAGGGTTTTATAATCTGAGTGAAAACCACTTCCAAAAATCCGGGGCATTATTTTATTATTATTTTGGTTGTTAGTTGCAGAATTGTTGCAGATTGCTTGAATAACAGCTTGTCAACTACACACATAAGCCCAATCAGCAAGCGGTAGTGTCAACGTTTCCTCTTGTCTTCCATCTCAGTTTCTGCTCGTCCAGACTAAAACATTGGCCAGGAGTTTTCAAACTAAATCAGCAGCATTTCCAAACGCGTTTCCATGTGTTGCAGATGCATTTTCAAACAAAAACGTAGTAGTAGTGTGAATGTAGCCCTAGCGTTGATATTAACTGAATGATGGTCTCTCCAAAGAAAGACCTACCCAAAGCGAACGAAGAGATTATGAACTGTGCACAACATATGCAAACAAACTGTTTAGAAAAAAAAAATCAAAGCCCCACATGCCATTTATCCGCCTGTCTCCTTGTCAGAACAAAGATCTGGAGCTCACCGTCGCACTGAGCCGATCAATGAGTCATCAGGGCCAGGCTGACTTTAATCAACAGGCCCATCTATTATTCATCTGTCTGGGATTCATCACCATCATCGCTCCATCTAAGCTCTCATCTGGGTTCTGACAGCTGTCTCACAGGCATCCACAGCCTGGAGGGACGAGCTGCTATTAGACTACTGACTGACTGGCTTCCCTGGGCTTGTTAAGAAGAAGGTGCTGCTCACCCTCCTGCTCTGTTTGTGTTTTCTCTCAGCTGTTTTCACACCACTTTGGCAAATTGAGCCCCTTCTCTGCCCTTTTCAGTTTATAGAAATGTTTAAACCATCTTATTTTCTCATGACATAGCCTGCAATAAATGTCACCATAACATAAACAAAACTCCATGATCATCATCATTAACATGCACCACAATGTTTGTTAATAGAACGTGTATGAGCTAATGTCTACTTAAACAAACAGTGTCATACTCAGATTCTTTGTGTCTTTCATGTAAAAGTAGAGACATTGTAATAATACTGTTAATACAAAGTCTTGCATTTAATATATAAAAGAGCAGAGGCTGTTTTAAACCAGCCTTTTTGTAATGGGCTGTTAGTTTGGCCTGTGGTGATGCTGTTTGCAGATTTCTTTCTGAAACTGTAAAAGTGACCTGCAGTAATTGAGCCCCGTCCAGTAAAGACCAGCAGCAGGACTCAGTCCACAGAACCATGAAGCTGCTCCACTGCTGCTGCAAACAGAGCTGTTCACCTGTTTATTCTAAATTCAAGAAAGCACAAGTGCCATGCTGAAGTGAGTATACTCCAGTTTCACGTGTTGACATGGACCTACTTGCTCATGTCGCCTAAATTACCCACTTATCTCAAATTTCATACAAATTATACAGGTAACGTGAGTTTGACAAATGCTACAAGCTGCATATAAAAGTGTCTGTAGGGGGTTTAAACCATTCTATCATGTCTTTAATTTGTCTGTTCTCGTCCTCCGTCCTGTCCTTGTCATTCAGCGCTGAGGAAAACCTCAGTTGGGGGGATCATTTGGTATCGATCATATCATCACTCTGATGATGACTTTAAATGTGACTGATCAGTGAGAAGTGAGAAGTAGGTGATTTTGAATGAAGTATTGATCTCTGTATATGGGTTAGGGGAGCTGCAGTGTCAAAATACAAGTTAAGTGAAAAAGGACAATAAGGATTTATACAGCAGGGGCCACTTTCCCCATGTGGATGTGCTTGTGGTGTGTGGAGGCACAAAAACACTTAGATGGCCCTCATTTCTTCTTCTTCTCCTTTTTATTACCTCGTTACAGTCGATGCCATTGTTGACCGACCAGGTTGTCTGAAAATACTCCAACATTCGCTGCTTGAGGCTCTGCGGCAGATGATGGACACGTATGAAGTCCTTGAGGTCTTTGGTTCTGGTGTGATACTGAGACCAGCGCGAGTACATCCTCTGGATGATGGCTGTCACATTACCGAAGACCAAGGCATGCATCAGTGCTGCGGGCGAGAGGAGGACGAGGAGTGAGGAAGGGATGAGGGACAGTAAGCCAGAGATGATGGGACATAACCATGAAATAGAATTTGCCCAGACAAGAAAACAAAATAGAAAAAACAAGTGGATGATGTTTTAATAGCACCAAGAGATTCATAAATTTTGTTTCTCACTAACAGCAGGGGTCGTTTCAGTGACAGTGGAGAGCAGGTCGATATTAACGTGAGCTGGGATTTGAAAACTAACCATTGCCAAGGAGGCCATGTCTTCATCTGTATTTGTTTGTATGTTAGCAAAAGTTTGAAAAAAGACTACCAGAGGGATTACTTTGAAAAATGGAGTTTGGATGCGAAATGCGTCAGGGAAGAATCTGACACATTTTGGTACAGATCCAGATCAGGTGGCAGAATCAGGACTCTTTTTTCACATCCTGTTACATTGTGAGATAGAAGGTTTTCATAATCATGTTTAGGGGACTGATATTTCTGAGTGTGTGCAATTTGGTGCAGATCCAAATAGCAATCTGGATGTGGTGAATTTAAATGTGGTTTCATAAAGGGACTGTTGGGCCTTGGTGGAGATACGTGCTCTAAGTTTTGTTCTAGTTCACACTGATTTTTACTGACTGATTAAATCCCTGCAGCACTGAAAAAGAGCTCTGTAGTGGCAACCATAAACATGAATATGATGAAGCATACGTCTTATTGGAAGCTGTCAATTCATGTGAGCAAATGAACAGAGAAATAAAACAGTCAACAAGCAAATACTATATGTAAATTCACGTCTCGCTTTTCCGTACCTCCCAGACAGAAACACTGGTGTCAGTGCTGAGAGGAGGAGGTTTGAGTGGAATGACAGATACCTGCCCTTTATACACCCACACAGATAATGCATTCTCCTAATCTCATTCTCCTGCGTCGCAGGTGTGTCGAACATCTCGGGACACCAACGCGCCAAACACAGAATTCACGTTGATATACTGTAACCGTCGTGTCTGCTGACTCCTGTTTTCAGACACTGCTACCTTTCAGTCACTGCATTTAAAAGCTGTTTACAAAACTCTATTTCAATCTAATATTTCATCTCTACAGTATGGCAGGGTAAAGGGGGCTTTGCTGTTGAATTAATCATAATAAGGCAATAATCCAATTCCTTCCACAAACTTACCTGATTTGACCTGTGGTATGCTATAAATACGAACAGGTGCTGGGTGTTTGTTTTCATTTTGCGTTTAACACACGAGGGACAGTATGGATGTGTGTGTGTATGTGCAAGCATGTGTGTTAGTGGCGTGTGTGTATGTGTGGGACTGCTTTTGGCCCCGGGCAATCAGGGACATTTAACGTTGAGCTGAACCAGCATGAGAACTGTCCACAGGGGAAACCCCCCCCTCTCTTCATCCCCAAAAAACACACCTAGTGTGACGATCCAGTTTAAACTGGATCAGAGCATCCTGCAAGGACAGTTTCATCTACATTACACTTGCAACTGGATTATAATGAAACAGTGTTCATGTTAGAATGTGCATGTTTTCTTTGGAGACTCTGACTATAAATTGACCATAGATAACATACATGTGATCATTGATGTGAGTGCGTGCGTGTGTTTGTGTACCTCCTACTAGCATCACACAAATGGAGAATATCTTTTCGGCGTCTGTGTTGGCCGACACGTTGCCAAAGCCCACGCTGGTCAGGCTGCTGAGGGTGAAGTACAGCGAGGCGATGTAGACGCTCCTGATTGGCGGTCCGCTGCCGGTCCCGTTGACGCCTCCAATGGTGAAGTACGGTGACTCCAGGCGCTTCCCCAGCTCGTGAAGCCACCCTGGGTTTAAAATGGTGAGAGTGGGGATAATGATGAAATAGTTCCAAATAACTACCAAAATGCATTCATTCATTCATTCATTCATTCATTCATTGCGTTTTCCCAAGGTAGCAACACTGACTCTGTCTGTCACAACAGCACGGCCAATAAGATGGGAAAACAAATTTCATTAAACCTTCTGATCTGAGGAGGCTCTACGGTCATCATTGAAAGAATAAAAAAATAACTAAAGTAAAATTCACACCATTAGAATATTGACACATTTATTCTTATATTTTTAATCTTATTACCACCATTAATGCTTCAACGCTTGAATCCAAAGAGCTTCAGTAATGTGAGACTGTGCAGTGAAGTATGTCGAAAACAGCACCAGGCTCTGGAAACTTCATTAAGCAGCGGTCCCCTCCATGTAACTGCAAGAACAATGGATGTTACAGTAGAAACTGATCTTGTGCATGAGAACCAGAACTGATCTCTGGTCAGTACAGTGTGGAGACATGCGGCTGATCCCAGGAGAGGCTCCCACAGACACTGATGAATGGTAATTGGATGGAGGCCCCTCATAGCTGCACGACTTCAGCATCAGAAACGCATAATTAGGACACAACACATTAATCCTGTCGCCCGTATACCGACCTGTTATTTTATGACACTGAAATGCAGTAATTGGTGCAGGAGAAATCTGCATCATTCTCATGACCCCAGTCGATGCTGACCCAGAAGCAGTTATGAAGACGCAGAGGACCGAGGTAACGGCGAGCGACACGGCTCATCGATACCGACCAGAGATCAGCCCAGGGGGCCTCATTATATGTGGGACCTGGAGGCGGAGGGGATTCCTGTGGGGCTCCATCATACGGTATATTACAAGAAGATTCACGATATTGGCCAGCTCTCACACACACACACCCTGGAGCAGTCGTTCGTGTCACATTTTCCCTCCTAAATTTCTTAACAGACACAGGAATCAATAAATTGACAAGGAAATCATGAACTTAAATTAGCTGTTAAAACACACTGTTCACTGGAACATTAAGAGACCCAGACAAATATGCAGAAGTGCCTGTAGCATGCAGACACCCCCTCCATTTACATGACAGCATGATGAATCTGTAACCCACCTGCATGTTTTCACTGATCTATGAGCATCGTTGTATCACTGTGGAGCTCTGACACCAAACACCGCATCAATACTCGTGTTTTAAGTTCTTCATTTATTGCCAGACAGTTTTTAATTTTGGTGAATGTATATATATACAGCATGTAGGAGAGCCATTATAAAAACAGATCGACACTGCAGCTTTCACACATAATATAAAGAGCAATGAAGGCCCAATGTGCCACGATACTGATAAGTCTTTGCTCCTCCGTAAATATATGTGGGATTTATTTGATCAGAAAAACGACTTCTTCATCAAAGCCTGGGGATCAATAAAGAATTTAACATTCTACATTTACAGCTACGAGCCATTCATTCCACAGATGTTTCAGTCCAGTGTTTCCTTTATACTGATTCAGTGCAGAGCTTGACAAAGCTGCAGAATGGCTCCCTCAGATAGAAAAATGAAGATGAAATGGCTTCGTCCTTTCTCGCTGTTCAAAAACACAAGCTATCAAAAAAAAATACATTAGCATCAACAGCACAACTGAACCGAACTGCAACACTTGTGTAACCCCACCTAGTCTCACCCAAACACCCACTATCCTACAGTTCCAGGTCCACGATTGGTGTTCGCTACCACTGCCCACATTCCATTAGCACCTCCAAACAAAGTTGACAACGACCAGCTGCGGACACACTTCACGTGCCACTCAACTCTCTCCACAGCAGCAGGTAGGAGTCATGTTCCCGTCATTTAGATTCACACTTTAAGCTTTAATGTCTCACTTCATCGAACACATCATGTGTGGCTGTTGTAACAGTTGACACGCTTTTAGGCTCTTTTTTTTGTTTTTTTTACTATTAAGAGAACTTGGTTCTATTTTCCTTGTGATTATTTATTTACAGCAACCTGATCCCTGTTAAAACCTTTTATTTATCACAGAGGGAGGACTTGTAGTTGTATTATTTGCAACGAATTTGGTGAGAAATTAAAATTCAACAGAGGTGACACAGTGGTTTACACTGTCTATCTGTGTGTTTGCATTTTCTCGTCCACGTGTGTTTTCTCCAAGTACTGCAGCTTCCTCCCACGGTCCAAAGACATGCAGACTGGGGTGAGATTAAAGAGACTCTAAATTGAGGTGTGAATATGAGAGTGAATAATTGTTTGACTCTGGCCACAGCCATCCTAATGCACAACAACGCTATTCTAAAACAAAAGACAAAGTGTTGGAACTGTTTCTGTAATTGTTTACCACAGTTTGTATTAACCGCTGGTAGTCAAGTTACTGATAAATACCAATCAGGAAGCACATTTGTCTTTGTCTCTCGGTATAATGGCTCCAGCTCCCGCTGCGAACCTCAAAGGATAAGCACTATGGATAATGGATGGATAAATTCAACAATCACCTGGGAGTTTTATTTGGTGAATGTCCACTGTGTTTTTAAGCGTTGTGTTTTGATTCATGCTAACAAAGCCAAAAGGAAATCACAAACATTCTATATACATTCTAGAGGAAATAAACCACAAATCATATTAAAATCCTTTAGTAACACTGATCCAAGCTGAAGATGCTCCACCTGCATTTGGCCGAGGGCCCAGTAGCACCCCCAGTGGACTGAAAAGGAATGGTGCCATCATGAACAGCAAGGGAGTTGGAGGGTGGTTTTGGATTTGAGGGCAACACTTGGCATTCCACTCCCTGCACTCACCGATATCCCAGTTGTAGGTGTTGGCCTCCATCTCCATCTTGCCGATGATGTACCAGATGCAGGCCATCCAGTGGGCCAGCAGAGCGAACATGGACATCAGCAGGGTGAGGACCACAGTGCTGTGCTGCGAGTAGCGGTCCATCTTCTGGAGCAGCCGCAGCAAGCGGAGCAGACGTACCGTTTTTAACAGGTGGACCACAGACACCTACGAGGACAGGGACGCAGGGAGAGATTTATTTTTAGGATTCAGATGAGGAGTTTTTCTTTAAATAAAGGGCATCTCCTCATGTGTTGGAACGACATTGGAACTGTCTCCATGCAAAAAAGCACACACCAATGTCATCACTATATATCAGCAGCGCACTGTAGACAACTACATCTCCTGAAGGCAACATGCTTCATCCCTCGTTAGATCACAACGACATAAACCAGCCTTTTATTTTTTTTATTTCCTGGTGTTGTTCTGTGGGCACAGTCAGGCAGAAGCATAAACTGAGGCTCAGACTGTGCACGTCTCTTATTTCGATGATAAATTATTGGGAGGACTTCCATCTCGCAAACATTCTAATACACAACCCCACGTCAAGAGACAAAAAGCTCTTGAGCATGCTTCAGGTCCTTTCTGACGTAAAGGGCCACTCCAGAGCTCTTGTTTTCTATAATTACACATGCTCGTGAACACATCAACAGTATGATCTATATATGTGAATATTTCTTGATGAAGGATCCTTGAATATAAAACTGCCAATTAGAGCAATCAGGCGTTTGCCGGCAGGTGTTTGTTTTGTTTTTTCAATCCTCAACAACGCCGTATGAGATTTCACTGCAGCTTCCTTCATATGTCGTCTTCTCTCATGCCGTCTTTTGTACTTTTACTCTGTCAGTCCATGACAAATTTACTATTGTCTAAACCCACTACCTCCCTTTACTGACTTACACACACGTTTGTACTTCTATCTTAGTGAGGACACTCATTGACATACATTTCCTGGCCTCTTACCCTAACCTTAACCATGGAAACTAAATGCCTAACCCTTATCCTAACCCTAACCCTAAAACCAAGTCTTAACCCTAAACAGCCCATTGAAAAAGTAAGGACTGGTCAAAATGTCCTCACTGTCCAAAAAATGTCCTCCCTCTGGGTTTATGCTTTAAATGGTCCTGAAAAAGATGTAAGTACAGGAATACACACACACATTTAAGTTCCCGTTCAAGCCTTTGACGCACTTGTAGATGTGAATGTCATCCATCGTGCACCTGCTCCTCCAGCAACAATCATTTGGGACTTGTATCCCCATTGGTAATACACACACACACACACACGCACACGCACACACACACTAGATGTTATTTAGAGGGATGTAGGACAAGATATTTTGTTACCTTTCTGTGAGGATGTATGGTGTGTGTGCGTGTGTGTGTGTGTGTGTGTGTGTGTGTGTGTGTGTGTGTGTGTGTGTAGGGGACTGACAGCGGAATGGGTGGAGACTGAGAAAGTGGAACAGAAATTCCATAGAAAAGTACAGTATATGTAATAACTTAAACAAATAGACTGTGGAAGACAGAGAATGTGGAACATAAGAAACAAACAAATTATGAAAAACGATATGTGTGTGTGTGTGTGTGAAAATGACAAGATCAGTGTGTTAAGTAAAAGGAGGATGTGTGTGTGTGGACACTACTTATCAGAGCTGCTCCTGCATGTGTCTCCAGTATGTTTTATGCTGGTCCTTCCACACTCTCGCTGTGAGAAATAGAGAACTGGTGCAAGCACAAGTGATAATGAAGCCTCCTACTGAGCCTTGGGGAGAAGCTCCATCTTCTCTCTGTCATCTATCACCACCCCACATCCCACCTATGGAGAGAGGAGGCTGCGCCACATCCCATTCTCCTTCACCGGCAGCACATCGTAAGCAGTAAGCAACATAATGTACTATACAATGCATTCACACCACATGCCACTTCCTCCCTTTAACTTCTGTCCCCTTCACTCCCATCTCGCCCCATCCATTCACATTTTCATTTCCTCTGGTCATCAGGTGTGAAATTTACATTTAGCCGCCTGATTGCTTACTTTCCCTCTGCTTTTTTTAAGGCAGCGCTTGTGCACACAATACTGTAACTTTCCAGGAATCCTCATTATTTCTCCCCCTGCAGCCATGACTTCAGCCCTACAAGCCAATCGCAACAGCACAACCGGCCACATTTATTTTTATTCATTTTATTGATGCAGCAGTATCAGGCCAATAAGCATGAATAATGTTGGTCTCCAGTAGGATCTGTGGCTTCAGGCCTTGGAAACATAGTGAATAAGACTTTTAATTATGAGTGTAGCAGTTGAGTTCAGCATAATTTACATATCATCAGTAAATTAGACGTGCAGGGATAGACAGTGACACCCTTGTGTTTAACATCAGGAACAAAACACAGGATTAACATTTGTGTTTTGATTTGTCTTTTCATTGAATACATTTGTTCGGATTTCACATTCATTTCTGTAATGTTGGGAAATATGAAAGCATGACAGCTAGAGTCAAATAAAGTTACTTGACAATAAAATATGACAGAAAATCTGATACAACATCATGTTGGTGAACAGTCTCTGCCGTCCTCGAAGGAGACACGAGTATGAATGGTCTGTCCTTAGAGGGGACATCATGCAGAACGCTCAGCAGTTACTAGCCATTTCCGCTCTCCCCGGCGGCAGCAGCAGGGGAACCTGTGGCCCAGTAGCCCCAACACCCTAATCCTGACCTACTGGGAGCGCATGGTATTTCCATTAATAGCATCTGCAACCAAAAAGGCACCTTCACCTGGAGCTGCCTGGAGCTGTGCCCACCCCTCCACATACAACAACTCCCCTTCACAGTGTAAAAGGCACCGTTTATTGTTTTGCTTTCTTCACAAGGAAGATGTGTTTTTACCTGTTTCTATTAGTTAGTTTGTCAGAAGAATTGCGTAAAAAGTGCTAAACTGAGAAGCCAATTTATTTTGCTGTGTAACAATTTAGGCTTTTATAGATATTATTCATTTGTAACCATTGAAAGTTCAATAAAAATGTATGTGACAAAAACTAGCCATCTTTTCTCCTCCATTATCTGTCACAGTCCACTGGGCCTCCAACCTGGATTGTGTACTGTACTTTACTGTGTCCTGGATCCTGGTAAGTGGTTGAGTGATGACAAACAGCATGAAGTCACAGCTTTCTCCAAATTGGAAGCCAGGAAGCATACACTTCCATAGGCAACCAATCAAAGCCTCCCTACAGTCTTAGTGCTGCCAATGGGTGATATCATTCAACCAGAGACGAGACAAGACGTTCTACCTAATTGCTCCAGATCTGTGCTTCCTCTTCCACTCAGCTATTCTTGAGGGGGTCATGTATTCGACTGGAGCTGAACAGGAAATGGTTTTAATGATACAGGTTTGATTGTTTTCTCAGCTAGAACACTATGTGGAATCAATACACGAATCAAAGAGGCACTGGAGCAGCGCTGGGAGCAATCTATGCGATCCATTCTTATGAAATGTTAAATGTGGAGGTGACAGGATTTCCGCCACTGGTTGATCCATCAATCATGAATATCTATCATTGATATCTATTTTGTCCATTCACATTTATATCTCCTTATTGTTTTTCTGTATTTATTTTTACAATCTTACATTGTAGTACTATATACACTATATTAAATATATAAAATGGAGTTTGAACCTAATGCTTCATCTGACCATTAGAATCTATATTCTATATTATAAAAAGTAACAATTTATAATGACAATGTACAGTCGACCATTGATTGCGTTCTAGATTAAATCTCTGGGGGTGTGTTGGTGGCGGTGATGAATCGGTCCAAAGGCTACTCACCACGCTGACTTTGAAGGCATAGAGCAGGTCAAAGGGCAATGCGGCCACAAGATCGATGATGAACCATGTGGTCAGGTAGTGGATGCAGATCTGCCGAGCGTCAAAGATCACTTGGCCCGATTTGCTGACGTAGGTGGTGCGAAAATTGAAAACAATGTCTGAGAGGAAAGCAGAAAAACAAAGCAGAAACTGAGTTGTGAGTTTGGTGGTTGCAAATGCTGCTTCTGTATCTGAAGAACTGATTCACACACATACACATACATACAATCTTACTTAATCACAATCAGGTCAGAGTCATATAAAAATCTTATTTGCATCTGCTCCCATCTACCTTACAACGCACCTATGATGAACAGTATCTCCACTGCGATGTCACTGACAGTCGTGCTGCGAGTCAGGTCGTCGTCGTCACCGATGAAACACACGTTGTACGGCACCGTCACAGCGACGTAGAACGTGGCGAGCAGAATCAACCAATCCCACCCGGCCTTGAACGTGCTGTAGTGCAGTAAGATGAATTTGGACTTCTTGGCGTCTGCGACCTTGTACTCTGGCAGAGCGGGCAGATCGCCAAACACATTCTGGACAGGATGAGACAACGTGGAACCTCAGTGGTGAGGTCCCGCCAATACACATGCTCGACCAATCAGGAGTCAGTCTCAGCTGTCAAACGTGACGTTTAACCCGGTTTTTATAGCATCAACTAACTAAAACCACACTTATTGGAAAAGGAGCACTTTAACATACACAACTTTTTAGTTTGGTATATGTCCTATCCGCCAACATGGAGGAGGCAGGATTTATGACCTATATTGCAGCCAGGCCCCATCTTTAATACTAGAGAGAGCCAGGAACTTCACAGTAACACCAGCCAGCTCACTAACTAGACCCATTATACCTTTAACAGAGCACACATTTGTTCTGTTGTCTAAACTTGCATGTTCACAAAGCTTTTTGACAGAGTAGAATAATTGTGTTTAATTCAGACTAAATTTAGCTGCAAATAATTGATGCTCTTGCTCCTTCAAACTAATCTGTGGTACAGAGCGTCGGCTAATGCGACTGGAGAGTTTTGTTTACAGGAGAGCACCTCTCCACCCAGAGACAATTTGTCTATTCACCTGCCTTGTGATTTTATCTACTGTGTAACAGCAGTTGTCCCCTCACTCCCCAATGTTTTTACAGTCCGCCCCCACTCGCTCTTCAAAGAGCCTTTATCGTGTTACATCCTGTCCCGTTGTTTGATGTGTCAGATGATACCTTGTTGAGTTTAATCTTGCTCTTCTCTCTGCTGTGTAGGTGACCGGAGATGTGGTAGAGCACCGTGCTGCTCCGCAGACGCGTCGAGCTGAATTGAGAGCCTGTTTTCACCCTGCCGCGCCGTCGCTCTGCAAACACACATACACACAAAAGTAAGTACACACCCCACCTTACAACACTTTACCCCCCGTGGTTAAATCCTGATGACTGAATGTTTCATTATGCTTGATGAAATGCATAATATTCTGTCCTGAATCCCTATTCAGGACATGAATATGCAACAGGAACATTGTGTAATTTCTCTGCAAATTGCACAGTTTATGAGTGAAATGAAAAAAATTGAGCATTCACTCTCATTTTGCCTGTTTGTTGATGATGCCTTATTGTGTACACACCATCTCCAACAAAAGCCACAGCAGTTTTCAGCTTTGATAAGTCAGCACTGGGGCACAGAGCCAGTTAAGTATAGTGTGGTAGATTAGTTATGATGGATTGCTACTGGGGCTGGTTTTGTGTGTATGTGTGTGTGTGTGCGTGTGTGTGTGCGTGCCCTTCCAAGTGTATTGTAGAAGTAGATAAAGTAGCTGTGTAGGGCAGTGCGGGAGCGACCGAGAAGTTGGGTAATGGCAGAGGGTACTTTATTGCTCATGGGTTCTGAGCCCCATTCTCAGTGTTACGAACCCACAGGAAAAGATGCCGGCCAGATTGGCTCGGGGGCATATAACGGCAATAAGAGAGCTGAGGAATTGAAGTGATAACTGCGTATGAGCGTGCTTTGGAAAGTGTGTGCACTCGGTGGTGTGTGTGCTGCTGGTGTGTGCACGCAGACCCCAGATGAGGTCGAACAGACAGGGCCCATCCATAACACGGCGCAGCCTTGGGGGACGCGATAAGGCAGGAGCACCGAGACAGAGACACGCTTATTTTTAGATCTAACGAATTTCCCTCCGCGTTTATAGCCATTCATGTGAAGGTAGAGGTGTCGTGTTTAAAAGGGGGGAGGGCGAAGGCATGTAGGGCATATGGGGGAGATAGATAGGGTGGAAGATCAGGCAGAACAGATAGAGGTGATGGAGAGTGAGAGAGGGGGTGAGGAAAGGACACCAGAAAGCTAGAAGAAAAAATCGAGACAGAAAAAGATAAAACATAAAGAAAAGAGGACACGGAAGATGGAGAGAAGACGTCAGAGACGGGTTTCCCTCTTTTGCAGGCATTGGCCCGTTGCGTAGGACAGGAGGCTAACTAGGTCACATCTGAAGTGTCTGTCCGTCCCAGAAAGGCCTCCTCAGCATGGAGGGTGGAATACCCCACTGATGTCATACATACCCTCAAGGCATCTCCTGCTGTTACCTTCTTTCTTTTTAGTTCTTATCCATTCACTTGGTGTTAAACAAGCCAAGTTCGCTTCCAAACACGTTAAAGCATTAACTCTTAAACATGAGAAAACAAGTTCAGTCCTGTTACGTCTGCGCTGAGAATGGCAACAAAAAATGCAAATGCACTGTGAGACTTACCAGGCATATTCTCATTTAAATGAGCTTGTCAGACCTGCACCCATTATAGTTCCTGCGCTGCTGTCAGTCTACACCGCGTGCTGCATCAGCCTCTTTCCGTTTCTATGAAAAGCATTTACGTGGGCAAAAATAACTTTCTGCTTCCTGCTCTCACTCATTTACTGTGATGAGAGTAATTAAGCAAATACAGGGGAGGGTGGCCTTATAGGTGAGAAAAGTCTATTTGCTGACACACACACGCACACACACACACACACACACACACACACACACACACACACACATACTGACCTTCTCTCTTGCTTTGTAGGTTGCTTCTGGCTTTTTGCTTAGATGTTGCCCTTAAGGTAATCCTTTGAGGAAATTGATTTTGAGTGCAAATTTTGCAACTAAATTTCCTTTAGTCGTCGTTTGTATTTACAGTTATGAATATCATTAAAATACTGGAAGGGCAAAGTTCTGACAAAGATATCTGACTCGTCATCATCAAAGTAGGTCTGTACTTTGCAGTGCAGTATCCGCCCTGACCACCTAAAGCACCTATGATGTGTGCAGTATGAAAACTCAGCACTTGCTCTAATTGCTAAAGGTTGAACATTTATGAGGCAGAAATTATGTTTTTCTTAAGAGGATATAAGGATATATGACTACTGTCCTTACTGTTCATTGATAAAAAATAGTCTCACACTACTGACCTGTTACTGTGTGAGTGAATTCATAGTGCTGCTTTCACACCGAATTCGGGAAGTGTGTGTGTGTGTGTGTGCACTCTGGTGGAATTTTGGTCTTCATAATTGTGGAATTTCACTGGTATCACACTGACCTTCCTTCTTGTCCTCTTGGATGGCTTTAGCTTTAGTGTCTGTGATGTCTTTAAATGAAGCCAGAAAGAGCACCACGTCTCCCTTCTCGTTCTTAATTGGCACAATGTCCAGCAGGCACCAGAACAGCACAGCTGCAAGGGGAAAAAAACACTTATTAATACAGTTATACTATATACAGCAGCTTTGGTTATAATATATTATCAGAATGGATTTACAATGTGTGTGTGTACACCAGTGTGTATGTGCACAAAGATCGACAGACAGACAGATCCCCAGACTTATTAGTGAGCCTATCTACAGCTGGAAGTCCCCTGGGAGAAGCAGAGCCTTTAAATAGAGCGAGTCATCGTTCCCCAAGCACAGCGAGAGATGAACCGATCTCTGAGGTCCCATCTCCTGCTAAATAGATAGTTTTTCAGAGGAACTGCAGGTCAGTATTTGTGAGGCTGCGTTTGTCTGCAGCAACATTGGTGTTCAAGTTTCCTTTATCCAAAAGATATAATGGTACATGGATTATTCGGCTTATGACAAACTCCTATTTGTACGTTGGGGGAACCTCAAAATGTCATCTTTTCTCTATTTTTACCTGTGCATACATTTGGTGGAGATGAATGTCTTCACAGCAGAGGTCATCCTCGAGCACTCATTTTTGAATAAGCAGTGAATAGAAACACTGATTAAGAGGGATTTCCCACGGAGTTCCCTCCCATCACGCCCCCTCACTAAATATTCCTGGCCTGGGGATGAGTCAATTACAGTGTTATTTGTCTGTGTCTGTGTGTTTGTGCGTGTGTGTGTGTGTATATTTCTATTTGTGTGTGTGTGTGAATGTGTGTGTGTGTGAATGTGTATGATTGAATATCTGCATGCCTGCAAGACAAGGAAGTGCTATCGAGCACACACTGTGAGAAAAGAGAATTCCTGATTGCGAACACGCAGCTTTCTCTCTCTCTCTCAGGCAGACAAGCGGAGGACCGAGTCAATCAGCTAAGCATGGCGAGACAGACAGCCGGGCCAACTGGCACAAACAGTACCGTGAGGGAATAGTACAAGAGGCGGGAGGAAGAAAAAAAACAGTATCTCAAAGAGAGAGACACAGAGGAAAATGTAAAGTAACAAAGGTAAAGTAATGGAGAACAGGAGGGAAGAGGAGCAAGGGGACGTGTGCAAGGAAAAGACAATAAAGTGAGACACAGAGCGGTTTATAGTAGACAGTCACATCTGTGATGGTATTAGCAGAGCTGTTTCTACGCAAACTGCACTGAGCCTTTGGCTAAATCTGCTTCAGGAACCAATCAAGGAGAAACTATAGAAGTGTGGCACAACACCTGACACATGCACACACCATCATACCTGTATTGATCAGTTTAGAGTACTGCATCATAATCAGTTGTTAAAACACTGGGCCTCATGCAGGTTTATACATGTTTATACTCTTATCCTCTTTTAATTGTTAGTATGGTGAGTTTGTTTGAACATACCAAATCAGATTTAACATGCTTCTATCTTCAGGAAAGTGTGTAAATGAGGTGCTTAAGCACGATGAATGCCACCTCAGCATTCACAAGGACAGTAAATTAGCACAATTAACGCAAATTAACATGAAATTTGGTGAATGTGACAAGTTCTCCTTAATCCTTTTTTTTTACTTAAAAGCAAATCTGTTTGTACAAATGCTTCTTGAATGAGGCACAATGTCACCACATGGTGTATTTAATTCGAAGCAGCAAGTATATTCCAACTCAACATTTACTTTTAATCAATACAGAAAAGATTAATTCAGCTTCAAGCAACGGAATCAATCGGAAAATGGTTTCAGATGCATCAGTCATAAACAACTGGCAAAGGAAAAACAAACAGCTCTCTTTCCCAGATCACATCTCAAATCGCTCAATTGCCTAGCTGGCTGGTGCAACTTCTTCAACAACCTTAGAAACAAATGGAAATTTGGATGTCTGTATTTCCATGACAACTGGGAAAAACTCCATCTGCTCAGGAAGATTATGTAATAAAATCAAAAGCCGGAGAACAGCAGCTAAATGGACCTTGCAGTGAGAGCGTTTTGTCAACATGTTTCCATGCTCAAGAATGAATGTTTAATCTCACCCTCACACTCCACTGCTCTGCACAAATTACAACGTATGCAGAGCTGATAACAATTTTTTGTCATGGTGTAACTGCAGAGAAATTCACACCAAAAATCAAATGTTGTCGGACTTAATTCAAACAGTTTTGTTTCCTTTTATTTGATTTTTTTAGATTCACAAAAAATTGGATCTGCTGCAAGGAACGGCCAAAACAAGAAGTCGGGAAAACTGCAGTAAATATGGAGAGGGCACACGGCAACCGTCACACATCACAGCGAGCATGTTTCCAACTGATGCCGAGATGTGCTCATTAGTTTTGACTCCATTTTGTTCAGTGGCCAGCCGGGTAATCAGAGAGGGACACTCCAAACCGCACCATGCCACAGCCAGCTGCAGGGCTCGGTGCATTTCAAGGAGATGGGGTTAAAGAGTCACTGGCTGGCAGCTATGAAAGTTTAATGTGTCTCGCCATTAAATAACAACTGAAGGACTTTAGTGGCTGTTTAATCACCTTTTAATGGGAATGAGCCAATTACTAAAAAAGTTCCGTCCATTCCTCCAAGCATCACTTCATATATTCATGGTCCCATCTACGCTGATTTAAATGAAGCTCCTTCAGAAATAGCTGCGGAGAATGGTCATCTATTTATGGAAAAAATACAGGAAAAGTCAGACATGATAATCCTACTGTGCATGTGCTCTCTAATGGTTTTCTGTGCTTGTCAACTTGCCCTGGTTTCATGGTGACATGACTGAGCACAATCACAGAAGAGCTGAAAATTAACTTTAACTGAGAAGGAAGGGAAAAGGAAAGAAAGACAACCACCGAACCAGAAATAAAAACAAAATTCTGCATCACTTCTGACATTTTCTGGAATTTTTTTTGACCAGGCCCCAAATACAAGTTATGGGATACATATGATGCCATATTCCAAAACTGAAAAAAGGTTGAAATCTAATAGAAAAGGTTGTACCTGCTGTTTTGAAAGGCTGACGAAATCTAAATGTCTGCAAACATTATTTTCCTATTTCCTGCAAACCAAATCAATCAAATCGTTCTCCCAGTGCATCAGTTTGTTTCCCAGGTTTAAAACCTTGTTAATAAACTGGTATGTTGTAAGAAGGTTTTCAAACGTTGAAACTTGAGTTTTGAAAGAGTGAATCTTTATTTTGTAACTTTGCTGAAATACACCTGGACTCTTGTTGTCGTCTGTTATTTCTGGGGTGGAAACACCTCTGTTTCAAAGATTTGGGAAAAGAAAAAACTTCCCATTTGCAAAGTTTACGTCTGAAAATGGCTCAAGTCTCACCCGTCTTTTTATAGAACATGATCTCGTCCTTAAACTCCTTGCGCTCCTCCAAGGCTTCGTCGATGCTGAGGATGATGCTTTCGCTGGTCTCTGGCCCAAACAGGAACTTGCAGGCACAGCTCTTCTGCATGACCTCAGCCCGGGAAAACCCTGTGAGTTCGCAGAAGCCATCGGAGCAGTAGACGATGGGAAAGCCCTTCGACATCTGAGCGTTGGCCAGGATGAAGTTGCTATCTGCAGGAGAGAGGGGGAGAGGTGAGGAAGAAGGCAAGGAGATGAGGCGATGACACTTTAAAGGGAAGGTGGAGTTGTGGTACTACTTAAACTACTTTTCTCACGTACCCATCTTTAGACAAACTAGTGGATGTCTCTTTGCTCTTTTTGCTGATTCTCTATGGAAATAGCAAGTTTATCCTGGCATAGCACAAATCTCAGGTCCTGCTGTTAAACTTCCCCAGAGGCAGTTTAACATATCTTCACACTGAATGCAATAAGTAAAAACAACATGCAGTGTATTTTTATGACTCAAGGCGAGAAGGAAAAATTGTAAAGCTCATCACAGACCAAACTACAGTTTTAAACTATTCATTACTTTTGCTCCTTTGAAAAACCCTGGAGGTTTGAAGACCAATCCCTCAGATTCACAGCACAGCAAAATGTAGAGTAAAGAAACTACTAATATATGTAAATATTATTAATTAACACTAGACACATTAATTAACATTACCAATGTTTAATTTAAATTGACTAAGAATTCAATTCATGTAATTAGTATCTTTGTGTTAGCCATTTGCAGTATAACAAGCTGTAAACAGTGCACTAACATACAGTATATATTCTTCTACCTTACAGTTTAACTATAGTAATCAGGAGTCAGTTTTAGTCTCTACTTCTGCTGCTCAATCCTCCACTACGTTCATTATCTAGCTGCTAAATGTGCTTGTCTGTGTTAATGCAGAGCAGATACCATGCAGTTTAGCTTTTACTGAAACCATCTGTCTGACTTGGCTGAATATAATGAGCGGATTGACAGCCACACTAACAGTGACTTTGTGAGCTAGTGAGCTGAGAGACGAGTGGAGGAGCAGTGAAAGGGTCATGAAATTTGTAAATTAAATGAAAATGAATCTTTTTTTATACTGATTTCGTCACATGAGAAACATATGGAAACACATTTCGTGAGTCTCAGATTCTTAATTAAGGGAGATATGGGATAACCAACCAAGCACTTATTGGGGAGAGACTTTCCCAATTTCTTCTTTATCTGAATGGTATGATATACTTGATATAAGAAATAACAACACTATGAGTGATTATAAGTTTAATTATATTTTACTACTGATCACCAAAGTTAGTTGTCGTCAAGACCTCCAGAGTTTTGGTCTTTGGTTTTTGAGAATCATCGTTTATCTGAAATAGCATTACCAACTCCTTACAATGTTACTGAACAGGAGTTAGTCATCAGTGCAAATAGTGGTACTCAATATTGATACTTTTAAATGATCCAGTAATCTAGAGATAGCCTGGGGGTAGAGAAAATAGCTCTTTATTGAGTTCATTTATAGATATGTAATAGTTCTGTGAGTGTAAGTAAAAGCATTTTGGTGTCTCCTCTTTTTGTTTTCACACATTTTGTGTATATATGGAATACTGGAAGAAGATCATTGTGTTTGTGAATTAGGGCTGTCTCGTAAAGGCAAATTCATAGTTTCTGTGTCTGCCAGGTACCTAACCCCAGCCCTGTACGCATCGACCAAGCATGCTCCAAGTACAATACATCACTTACTGGAAGAGATACTGGAAGACCAATGCAGACCCTAACTTTCGCTTTCTGGAGTCAGTTGAGGACGTTGCCCCGCTACTCTCTGGTTGCGAGACCACCGCTTTAACCTCTCAGCGCCTGACCCCCACTGTTTGAAGCTTCAGGTAATAAAAATGGAAACAAATCTGACTGGTAGAGGGGTGCCTCTCTCTGGGTGTTAAACTGAATCAAGCCACTGGCACTAAAGAGGAACTTTTAACACACCGATACAAAGGCTGATTGAATCCTCAGCACGGGCAGATGAAGGCCCATGTGGGCTGCAACATGAAGGTCATTTACCTTAATAAATGTCTTATCTGCAGAGTAATGGAATCCTGCTCTTGAAAGTCATTCCCTTGAGTGAAGAAACCAACCCTGAATTCACAATAAACTCTGTGGGAGCGGCAGTAAAGAGGAGGTTGTGTGTTCAGAGAGGGAAAGCAAGAGAGAAAAAGCAAAAGTGGAGGATCAATAGTGATTGTGCTCGAGTGATGACAGAGAATAAACAGGATCGCATTAATGCTGAAGTCTATCACAGTTAATTAGCCTATTTGTGTCTGGCTCTAAATACCCAGGTTTGAAGTCGACCAGCTGTTTATACCTGAATCCACAAACACGCATGTACGCACACATGCACAGTGCCAGTGTAGTGCAAACGTGTAGAGCTCTGCTGAAAGACAGCTAATGTTTAGAGTACAATGCCCATTATACAAGACAGTGGACGACTGCGGTTTAGCAGATTCTATAATGTGTGTCTAAACAAGTGTGTGTGCTCTGTTGTAATTTGATAAGCATTAGGACCTGTTCCAAGTTGCATAATAACTGTATGACTACACACAAAGTGTAGCATTAACGAATCACACCCAATATATCCTGAGACCATATTAAAATCACAGCAAAATCATGACACACACACACACACACACACACACACACACTCATATGCATAAACACATGCAGCAACATGAACTTGCTTATAATCACAGTATGAGATGTCCTGCAAAGAGACTTGTCCCACTTACATTTCATTTCAAAAATCAATTTTCTGCATCAATAATTCCTTCTTCCGCCGACCGCCGGTGTTTAATTGTTTTATGTTGCACATCAGGCTTTGCTGAGGGGAAGTACCTCTGATCTGAACTGGGAATACAATGGCAGAGAAAAAAACCCTTGTATGTGTCCCTCAAGAGGAACGAGCAGCATGTTCATCTTTTATAATCCCATTCAGAAATCAATAGTCGCTTCTGCGAGCTTGCTGGCACAAAATGTGATTCTTGTCACTTTCAACTTTGAACAGGAGGGAAGGTACTCCAGGATTATGTAAAAGGAGGATAATGAATAATAATCTTTTTTTTTCATTATATCTGTTGCACATACTCAGCAAATATATGTGTAATAGAAAAATGCAGAACATCACCAGATCTTATCTTGTAAAGGATAATTTCAGTTCATTACAACATTTTATTTTTTGGTATCTGCGAGCACATCTACGAGCACAGTGACATCCCAAATTCTGGTCTGACAAGAGAAAAACCTTGAATCATGTTATAAACAAGCCTTTTCCATAGTGTAGCCAGAGATCCACTTATTTATTTACTGATTCATTACTGAGAAGAATCATTAGGATTTTCTAAATAAATGTTACTATCAACCCTGTCCGATCCACTCATGATTTCTATCTCATCAGATTTATTTTAGTTGATGTCACAGGGTTCGTTCAACTCTCAGTGTTCCTGCTACCAATAGGAATGATGAACTGATAGTCGGCATCGAAAAATAAAATGCAGTGATAGTGATACGAAGGAGAAAAACTCCTGGAGAACATCGCCTGTCAGCAGCAATACTCTGACTGCACGACCCAGACAGATGGTCAGAGAGAGTGTCAGCGTTGCGACCGGCTGTCAGATGTGAGACCCCTCAGGCTCGGGGAGTAAGCGAGAGAGAACGAGCGACAGGACCGCTGGCGTCTGAGGGACCTGCAGCAGAGGCCTGCAGCTCGTCTGGTGGCAGCTCCCAGAGCACGAGTGGATGGTGCTGACAGAAAACTAATGTTTATACCATGAAATACTCACTATACTGTCTGACAGTGGATTCAGTACGGTGGTTCAGTTCATAGAACAGACAGTTATGCAGATGACAGATAGCAAGTTTGTGTAACATAGAGGGGAGGTCATCTGATGTAAAGTTACTTAAATGATATCCGCACTCAGCTTTTATAATTTTGTCACTTGATTTATTTTCTGCTTTTCTGCTTTTTTTTCTTTTATATTAAATATCATTTTAACATTTACACTTTAACATGTTCTTACTGTTACTTAAAACGTGCACCACGACTCTTGCCTAAAATCAGCTGGGCCCCACTATGAGCCTAAAAGGATAAGCAGTATAGATAATGAATGGATGGATGTTTCAGCATGTGTGTTTTTGTATATTTAAAAAAAAAAGAGAGTCGATGTCAGATATTTCCAATCATCACCATATAGATAAATATGTTATGACAGATGTGCAGATGTTTATGTTGACACAGAGACCTTATGAAACTGAATTTAGTATATTAAGTTAAAAAAGAAAGTACTATAAACTTAAATAGGTGTTAGTATAATATTCCACCCTTTGTTTGTTTTTTATAAATTAATTTTTCACATCAAATCTTGGCCACTGCCTCTGTAACTGGCTGACACAGAACATAATTACCATTTGCTTGACCTTTCTCCTGTCTCTTTTGCTTTGTCCTTTACACCAAATTCCCTCATTTTTCCCTCTTCTCTCCATCTGTACTTCCCTCCTACTGTCCTACTTTCCCCGACCCCTTCCCCGCCTCCGTCCTTCCCTCCCTTGCCCCTGCACCAGCATCACACCCCTGTTCTTGCCTTTCCCCACCCTCCAGTTTTCCTGTCTTCCTTCCTTTCCTCTCAATCACTCCCACTACCCTTTGCTCTATCCCTCCTTCCCTTCCCTGCCTCCGTATCAACCTTTTGCTCCCTCCATCATTCCCTTCCAGCTGTTCTGTTGGTCCCACCTACAGTTTTGGATCTCTCCACCTAATTACTCTTCATCCCCTCTCTGCCCTTGGAATTCCAACACATGATCCATCTTTCCCCTCCAATCCATTTATTTCCCTCTCTCTCTACACACATTCACCTTCTTCTCCATCACCTGTATGAGGACATCATCCACCTTCTGTTACTCTCTGCCCCCCCAAAACTCTACTGAAGGAAAAATCTGAATCATCTCCTCATCTCTAAATTCTTCATGTATTTCATCTCCCCTCCTCTCCTTTGTCTCTTTCTTTTTTCTAACACTAGATATTCTCTCCTCTGTCCCAGCCTCCTCCTCATCTTCCATTTCTCCTCCATTTCTCACTCTCCATTCTGAATTTCTTTTGGCTAATTGCTCCAGTGTAGAAGCCCATAGACCAT